ATTAGATCAAAAAAACTAAATATAACGATACATATATTAAAAAGTTACAATTAACATATATTAAAAAGTTACAATTATAAAAAAAATTATAGGAGTTACATTAAAAATAAATTATAGGATTCACATTTTCCAAATTATTTTGTAAATAACAAATTAAATATATTTCCTATAAAATCATATGAAAAGCAATCAAAAGCTTTAAAAAAAGAGACACTCACAAAAATGCCCCTTTTTCAATACCCCTTTTCAAAAATGCCCCCTTTGGCTGTCCATTTTTAAAAATACCTCTTTTTATGTACAAAATGACTAAATTACCCTTCTTTTAATAAAATATATCACAAATATATAAGGAAATATAACAAAATTAGGTCCACAAAATACAAAATATTTTTTGGCGGGAAAAGTGATCCCGCAATTTTTCCCGCCAAAACACTTGTAAAAACTTATAAAAACCTTTAAAATACCTTGTAAAATTTTCCCGTAAAATTTTTTCCCGCCAAAAAATTTTCCCGCCAAAAAAAATTTTTTTGCGGGAAAAGTGATTCCGCAATTTTTTTGGCGTTAAATTTTTGACGGGAAAAATTTACAAGGTATTTTAAAGGTTTTTTACAGGGTATTTATAAGGTTTTACAATGTATTTTAAAAGGTTTTACAACGTATTTATAAGGTATTTATAAGATATTATAAGATTTTACAAGCAATTTTATAAGGTTTTACAAGTTATAAGGTTTTACAAGTTTTTTAAAAGGTTTTACAAGGTTTTATAACTTGTAAAACCTTATAAAAAACTTGTAAAACCTTACAAAACACTTGTAAATACTCTGTAAAACCTTTAAAAAACCTTGTAAATTTTTCTCGCCAAAAATTTTCCCGCCAAAAAAATTTCGCCAAAAAAATTGCGGAATCACTTTTCCCGCAAAAAAAAATTTTTGGCGGGAAAATTTTTTGGCGGGAAAATTTTTTACGGGAAAATTTTACAAGGTATTTTAAAGGTTTTTTACAAGTGTTTTGGCGGGAAAATTGCGGGATCACTTTTCCCGCCAAAAAATATTTTGTATTTTGTGGACCTAATTTTGTTTCAAATAAGGGTAAAATGGTCATTAAAAAATAAAAGATGGCAAACTTAAAAATGGACTCTCAAAGGGGGCATTTTTGAAAAAGGGTATTGAAAAAGGGGCATTTTTAACAATTTCTCTTAAAAAAATCCCAAAGATTACTATCATTGTTTAATCTCTTTTTATATTCCTCTTAATTTAAGTTATATTGGTAGGTTTAATTCTAATGATTTCATATTTGTAGTACAAGCTAGATTGGAAATGGAATATCAGTTTTTTTTTATATATAGGAAACTTTTTACACTACAAAATTTGAATTAAATACAATTTTTAATGATTTTTATATAATAATATGTTGAATCAAAAAAACTAAATATAATGATAAGTATACTAAAAATATGTAGTACAATTTTTTTGGAGGTAAGAGAGAGTTAAGGAAAATTAATTTGATAATTGTATTACAAAAACTTATTTCGTTAAAACATTGCATACTTTTAAAAATAAAATAAATATACATGAATATGTAAGAAATAATCAAACATCAAAAATAAAAAAATGGAGATAGTTCCCTTATAATTATAATGTGTTTAAATGACAATGAATAGAGAAAAAAATAATCAATTCACAATTATGTAATTTCAGTTACAATTGAGTAGTAAAGTGTGGATTTAAAGTGTGGATTAATGTATATGATTAAATGTTTTATATTTTAAGTTTAATTAAAAATAAATATTATATTTTAAAAATAAAAATGCCAAGTGGACCAATCATGGGAGAGTGAAACCCTACTTTTATATGTATGATTGGTTAATGAAAAAATGTCACTGATTAATGGGGAAAAAAACGGTTGAACTGTCACTGATGGGAAGGAAAAAAAGATTTACTTTCATCATACCATGGTGATAATTAATTTTGACCAAACTTTAGTAAGAATCTTTCGGAGCTTCAAGATCAAGTAAGAAATCTATAAAGCATAGTCGGTGATATTAACGACCCGTGAATTTGGTAAAATAAAGTTACAAATTTATTCATAGCTCTCTTTAATAAGTTAAATATATTTAAGGTTGATTAAAAAATAAATATATACTTTTAAGGTTCTTTTTTGTTTTGAAGGTATTTTCACTTGAGATATTTGATTTTTCTTTATGCGTTGTATAAATATTAACCGGTTGATCAAAATTGGCTAACTCAACTAAATCAATTACCATTCCTCTCAATATCTTAAATTCGATTCTGCAAGGTATTGAAAAGGATTGCTCTTCAATCCAGTGGAATACATATATTCGTTATAAAAAGAACAAAATTGATAGACAAGATTGTAGTGTGGAAAAATATATCTCATCATTTGAAGAAATTAATATATTTCAAAATTTAATTCATATAGATTCAAACATTCAAAGGTTTATCACATAAATCGTAATTAAATACATATATTCAACTCATCTAGAAGATAAAACATGTATAATACTTTCTTAAATATAATCTGATAATAGAATTTTTCGGTTTGTTTGTGTTTAAAGCAAGATTCAAATCTAGCTTTCGCATCAAATCAGTAACAAATTAGATCACAATCCAAAGAAAAAGATTTGAAAATCTAAACAAAATCTCAAAAGGGCCTATTTAGAAGACTTAAGGTGAATGGTAATGATGTGTGCTTAAAAAAAGAAATGTGCATGCATGGTTACTGGTTAGAGAAATTTGTAAGCCTTTTGAATCTTCAAAGTCTCACAAACATTCCACTTAATTATATGCATACGGATATGTATAGATCATAATTTTATATATCTTTTTAATTAACATTGTGTGCTCTTTGGTGGTGGCTCATTTTGGTTGTGGAGACAAAAGCCAAGTTGATAATAATAACTAACATGTATGGGATATACAGCTTTCAAATACTAATACGCATTTAAATTTAGGTATTATATATAATGCATGGTTGAGGTGCTAAACCATCAAGTAGGATTAAATTACGAATGATAAAAGATCTTTGCCACATAATAAGATTTGTTAGCCATAAACAGTGAATGGTAATACGATTTACTAAAATATAGTTGATAGCTGATTTATCAGATGAATAGTTAAGTAGTGGAAACACTTGAGCTGAACAACATACATGTTTAATATCACAAGACAAAGAAGAAAATGAAAAGCTATATAATGTATTTTAAGTCAGTATAATTATATTTTTGACACGTACATGGTACATATCCTGTATAACGTATCATTTTCTAAAAAAAAAGTTTGGGGAAAACGTAATGTTTTAATCTAATTTCTGAATTAGTTCTGAATTTGACGATGCTTTAACCAAACCATACTCCATAGTCCATAGTACTCCATACATGTTGAATAGAAAAGAAAATTCAACTTCCTTTAAACTAAAACCGTTAATCATAAATTACAATGAATAAAAATTATCATAGTACGTAAATTTTCCATTATTATGATATATATTTTTAAAATACCCCAAAAATATATAAGAAATGTTAATAGATCATTAATTGGTAAAACAAACTTTAAGCTTAAAAATAGTTCATGAAAAGTATGATATCTTTGCTAAATAAAGTTTAGACGCTGGGTCATTTTCTTTCTAATTGTGTATAGTAAGATAATCTTACACAATCGGTGTGAAGGAGGAGGCAGTTTTTGAAAATATAAAATAGCAAAGAATTGATAAACATCTTAAAGATCGATTAAGACTTGTTAAAAAATTCCCACGAGAGAATCGGACAAGAAGTTTAAAGTGAAGATGCGGTAAGCATATATATATTATCTCATAAAAATGGATTTTAAGATTTATATTTATAACATCTCTTACTAATAAAAGATGCTAATTGAAGCCTCTCAATGTGTCCACATCAGCTATTTTCAAAAGCTCTCTAAAGTTGCCACGTCAGCTCACTCTATTACGCCATTTGCATCAGCCTACGAGCATAAATGAAAATTTTACAACTTCAGTGTCTCATCCACGTAATCCAAACAAGTTTCTTATATCCAATTATTAAATGTCACGTGTCAAGCGAGATGGCTCTGTTTGCCATCTTAAAACTGAGCGGATCGTCTTCCCTTGATCTATTCTACCTCCATAATATCCTCTTCCAAAGAATCTAAACCGTCAAAGGCAATAATTATTTTCTGCAACAGGATTCATAGCGTCTTTATATATATTTAGGTTTCCTTTTGATAGAAATCACATGTTCAATGAGAAAAGCTGAGGTTCCGTAGGTGGAAGAGAAGACGAAACGTCAACCCGGATCTTCCGTAGTTGCTGAGGTTGGGTTGGTCAAGAAACATGCAACATAGCAAAGCCAAAGAGAACAACAACAACACTATTGGCGGTGCGTTCTTTGTCGATCAACGTGCGGAACCCGCAGAGGTCGAGAGTTTCTAGGGTTCATTCAATCGGTCGGTGTTCTCCGGTGGCTCATTGTAAAGTGGTTCTCCAAAGTTTTTAATTTGTACAGAATAATGTGGCTATAATGATGATTTATTATCAAACCCCTCTATTGTTCTGCTCTTATTTACTAGGTGAAGCTCTCGGCCACAAACAAGGTTCGTTGAAATTATGGTTTGTAATTGTCTTCTCTTATCTAAAATTTTGTATTTATTGCAGGATTATCAGGTCAAATTTCTACTTGGAGATTTTGTGTATGTACCAAGCTTAACTCACTTAGTATGTTCCCATTTGGTGAGTTATAAAATTACTTTTTCTGGCACATAGTTCTGTAAAGAACAAAGCGAAGTTATACATGAATGACTCGAAGCGAAGTTAAAGACATGTACGGTTGAAAAACATTAGTGCAAATGAGATTCTACCTCAACGTGGGAATATTGGAATGGAGCTAACTACTCCTTCGTTTCAAAAGCTAGGATGCTGAAGACATCCTTAAATGAGGTAATTGTCCATATTTAAAAAAAAAAATGAAATCATACAAGCTTTAAAATACAGTGTTGGTGGGAAGGAGAGATGGTTGGCATCTCCTCTGACATAAACGGGACTGACCTATATGTTTTTGAAGTTTGAACACATCTGGTTAAGGTTCTCCACCCTCATAACTGTGCTTTACATGTCATAACTGTGCCATTTACTCTTCTAATGGGCTGATGATTTGGTTTTGTTCCTAAGCAGCGGAACTTTCCTTGCTTCTTCCTCGTCCGTGTCGACATCTGCAGTCTGCTGCTTCTCTATGGAATTTTCACTTTCATACATTTTACATGTATAAATTTGAGATTAAAGTTGCAATTGTAAAGGTCAATGGGAAAAACATAGTTGACTAAAGACATATATATGGTTGCACTATGCTGTCATCGCATAGACTTTTCTTTTCTTTTGGGGAAATTACACATTATATATATTATGAAAGAAATGCAGTTTAAGAAATTGTAGTTGTGGGGGAAAATAAAGTACTAATTTTTTAGCTTTACTGAAGTTGGATTGTTTGAGAAAGAAAGCCCAAGTATGTTAGGATCAAAGCGAGTACTTTTGATCTTCTGATTGTTTGGTTACTCATCACACAGTACAGTGGTTAAGGTTATTCTGAAGATCTTCTGATTGTTTTAAACTCTCTATTTTCTAATTGACGTGACTATCCAACTTTCACCACTTCCTAACATCTTGACAACACTCCTTTAGAAGATTCGCTTTGTGTAGTATAGATTAATTTTGTATTCTCTTAGTCCAAGTTACCAATTTGTATTCATTTGATTTAATTATCAGCAAAGTTCCTCTAATTACGCTTTTAATTTCTAGATTCCAATGATGAACAATTTAAGTTCCCCATGACAAAGTTATCACAAAGTTCTGAAAATATAATTTGGCCACTTCCTAGATGATAAACTATTCCTATGTATATGTAATTATAGATTGAATTACACTCATTCACGTAGATCGTCTAACTAACATATACCCGGGCGTAGCCCGGATTTTCCCCTAGTATAAAAAATAAGAAGAGGATAAGATTAAATGGTACAAAGCACTAGTAACCATTGGTGATTTCGACAATTATAGGGCATTTGATTCGATCTCCTATCAGTCTTCCATTACCCTTTTGGTTCTATAGATCTATTTTGTAATATTTATGTGGACCTATGCGTACGCTTAAACAAATGAGTGATTATTATTTATATTTTTTGCTTAAGTTTCTAACAAATTCTAGGAATAATAGACGTTGGTTCTGTTGAATCAGATACCAGATACGAATCAAATGTATTGAATATTTCTGAATATGTAATGTTTTGCATTTTAAATAATTTGACGTTTTAGATTTTGTTATTTCCATTTTTTGACAGTTTTATTTTTATATCAAATTATTAATGGTCAAGTTAGGTACTAATCGACGATAACTCATCATTTAGTATAATCTAAAACATCTAATTAACAACATTTTAGTCATTCTCGTCAAAAAAGAAAGAAAGACCTATCATCATCTATATATAGGACCAATCACTAGAGGCTGCGGTTTGGTCTAGGTGGCTTCGCTATCCCGTGGGAAATGTTTCATGTTGTTCGAGATAGGATTGGTGGCTGGAGGCGGCTTCTCTGGCTGCCCGTAGATGCTCCCGTGCCGCCGGGTGCGTGTTTTAGTCCACTATAGCCGTTCCGTTTTTGCGTTAGTCCTCGAAGAAGTTGTAAGCGCATATTTCTGAGGTTTTGAGGACTGGCCACGGTTTGGGTTGCTCGTGGCAACAACGATGAGGATTCGAACTCTTTGGAGCTGAGGAAACCACGTAAATTTCCGAACTTTGCGGTTTGGAATCGGTGTTTCTTCTTAGGTCTCTGTTTGTGGAGTTTTCGCTAGTGCTTTCTTCCCGTTTTCTGTTTGGTGTTGTGTTGTAGTTTTTGGTGGTTTCTTTAGTTTTCGGTCAATCTTTTTCTTTGTTTTTCTGTTAAAATTTGCGAAAATTGTATAAATACTTAACATTGATACCAAAGAAAAAAAAACAAAAAAAAAGACCAATCACTATTTTGTATTTTCTTAGTTTCATAATAGATTCTAGAAATAGACCAGGGTCAACTCCTTGGGTTTATTGAATCAGATACGAATATTTGAAAGATTTTCTGAATATAGAATAGTTTCAATTTTATTTTTAAATATTTGACGCTTTAGATTTATTCCTTATTTCCATTTTTGGACAGTTGTATATAAAATTTATTAAATTATCAACGTTCAAATAAAATTTTAGGTACTGATCAACCGTACTCCAGCATCTAGAAACTAAAACCTCTAACAGTATATAATTTTATGGACTAGTTAGTAAATGGAATCTATAAAAGAGAAAAAAATATATATATTTATAACCAAAAGAAATCTAAAATTGGAAAGAAAAAAAAAGCTCAGTGATTCTTTCTTTTTTTAAGTGTTTCCAAAGAAAACCTCCAAATTCAATTACTGATTTCTTATAGTAGATCACTAGATATATATAATATATCAACATGCTGATGAAAAAGAAAAAAATATATATATATATCAACATGCTCTCACAGTCACTTCTCAGATGAGAACAATAAAAATAAAAATCGTTTCTTGCTAAATAAGAAATATTGAAAGCCCACGATTGGCCCAGTGGGTTTAGGTGTTTCAAAAGCCCACGAAAGCACCTCCATGGAAGAAATTGGGGAAAAAGGGTTTTCAGAGTTTTTTTGTTTTCGAAGCTTAAGCTTGATCCTAACTCAGTAGATTCAACAATGGCGATAATGTCAGATCTTCCACGGGATTTGTTAGCGGAGATTCTCTGTAGGGTTCCGTTGACATCTCTAAGAGCAGTGCGGTTCACTTGCAAAAAATGGAACGATTTATCCAAAGATCGGAGCTTTATAGAGAAGCAAATCGTGGAAGCAAAGAAGAAGCAATTGAAGGCGTTTGCGGTGATCATGATGAGGAATTGTAGGGTTTATCTAACGAGCGTCGATCTCCACAGCGATGTTGATCCATCTTTTACGCCTAAAGGTACACTTATTAGCTTAAACGATGATGCTAATCCCCATCAAATCGATAATGTATCTAGAGTCTTTCACTGCGATGGTTTACTCTTATGCATCACCAAAGACTTAAACTCTAGGCTTGTGGTTTTGAACCCTTATTTTGGGCAAACAAGATGGATCAAACCCAGAAATTCTTACCACATAAAGGACAATTACGCTCTTGGGTACGACGAGAAGAAGAACCACAAAATCTTGAGACTTAAGGATAATTATTACGCTTATAGTTCACACCCACGGGAACGGATTTGTGAGTTTGAACTCTACAGTTTTGAGTCTAATTCATGGAAGGTTGTTCTTGATGTCAGTCCTGACTGGTATATACATTCTTATCACCGTGGCTTGTCTCTAAAAGGGAATACTTACTGGTATGCTATAGAGAAGCATGGCAATGTTGATTTCTTGATCTGTTTTGATTTCACAACTGAGAGATTTGGACCGCGTTTGCCTCTCCCTTTTAACGCTACCGCTTCTCCTACTTATGATGATGTTGTTACTCTCTCTAGTGTTGGAGAAGAGCAGCTTGCGGTGTTGTTTCAGAGTGATCATACATTGATGATGGAGATTTGGGTTACGAGCAAGGTTGAGCCCACAGAGGTTTTGTGGAACAAATTGTTCTTAGCCGTTGATATGATAGCAATCGGCTCTAACTTTCAGTGTGTGGCAGACGCTGGGAGTTTCTTCATTGACCAGGAGAAGAATGTTGTTGTGGTTTTTGATAGAGATATGGATGCGACTAACACTCGCGGCATGGCTTACATTTTTGGGAAGAATGGACACTTAAAAAGAGTGGATCTTGGGGAAGATGCAGACCCGTGGTTTTATCTACTTGTCTGTTCTTATGTTCCAAGCTCAGTGCAAATCAGGCAGCTAACCTGATTATTATTATTAACTACTGTTTTCTTTTTCTGGCATCATCGATTGTATAAATCTGACCATTGTTATCAGTTATCTGGAATCTCAGAGACATGGCTCTACTATATGTAAACTCTCGTGTGGCTCTTCCAGACATTTCTTTGAAACAGTCAAATGCATCTTGAACTTTATCTTTGGGGCTTCATTGCTAGTTAGCTGAAAATACAGATAGTATTATGCATGATGCAATCGCGCATTCACTCTGTTTGCACGTTAAAAAAATATGAAGACTAATTTCAAGGAATCTTGATTTGGCCCCAAGGCCACTTACACATACAGCACATATTCCGTATCAACTCAGAGACATTACATGATTCTCATAGAGAAACATATAAACTTCACAACAACTACTAATCCACACCTCTTTTCAGTTTTACTTCTGTATCAAAAGACAACAAGACGATACAAACAAACAAGACAAATGAGTCTGTTTTGCTTCATCAGGAAAGCTTTCCTACGCTTTCTTTTGTGAAGCTGCAGATCTAATGGCAGTCTTTGCAAGCGTCGAAGGCTTGAGTACACTCTTAGGGTTAATAGCCTTTCTGATTTTGAAAGCAACCCAGGCTGTGCCAAGCGCATATCCTGCTGCATCGAGCCCTTCGTTTGTTGCCTCAGCCGCTTTACCACCATACCTACATTCATCAAACCAAAATTTACATTCTTCTCTTAAACACTTCCATACCCGAATAACCAAGAGTTTAAAATCCCAGATATTCGATTTACTTACTTGTGATCAACAAGTTCAGTTGTGACAGTGGAAGAGGTTGACATTACATTCCTCCCAGCTACTTCAACAGCATCACAGACTTTATCTATCAAAACAGGAATCAACAGTTTCAATGATTATGAAATCTAAAGATAGCTATATTATATGATATAAGATTAGTGTACTTACTGAATCCGTCAAGAGATGCAAGGATGACTTCTCCAGGAAGAAGACTAAAGAATTTCTTTCCTACTTTGGTGTTTGCCACGGAACTTGTGAAGAATCCAGAAACTTTAAGGACTCCAGACAGTATGCTGTTTGCTACACTCTCTGTCATTTTGGTCATCTTCTTCACTCTGAATAGGCAAAAACATAACAAGACACCAAAACACATAACTATGAGTCGCAATAATGACATATAACAACACCATATGCAGCATTGTCATGTTTGGAACATCTA